CTCTCTCTCTCTCTCTCTCTCTCTCTCTCTCTCTCTCTCTCTCTTATTTTCAGAACGTAGGCGCGGAGGAGTACTTGTTCTTCGAGGCTAAGAACAAGAACGTCACGGACAGCAAGACCATCGGCATGGGAAAGATTTCTCTCAAGTGAGGAACGGCGACATACTCCCGCGATACAGTACAAATCAAACACTCGTCAAGCCCGTAACCTTACACAAGACGACATGGTTTGTCTTGGTCAAAACGCCTTACAACGAGACGAAACTGCTGTTTGGGTCCTACACAGATCGCGCTCCGAACCCGTCCCTTCAGACGAAGGAAGTATGTTGCTGATCGGGCAGCAGAGCTGACAGCATTTGTTGTACGTGAGAGTTATTTTCATCCTCCCTGTGTCGTATCTTTGGCACCGGCCGCTTCTTTTGCTTAATGTTCCACCGGTTGGTGCGGCGCGTGCTCGTGTTTTCCGTCGTTGCAAAGCTTCTTTTTCTCGTTTCGCCCCAAGTGTCTTTCAAGGGTATATACGAATAGGTGTGTGTCTAGAAGGGTGGTATGTCGGATAAGAGTAAACATGCGGACCGCCCATGCAGCAGGCAGCGGTGCTCTGCTCCCTCCCGGCTGAGTACAGGTGCCAGATCGTTGTTGTGCAGCACTAATAGTCAACGGCACGTGAAGACTCGCGGATCGTGCATCAACCTCCCCTCCCTCCCGACTTCTTGCCTTGACGGGTGCGCCGCTTGATGACCGTTCACACGTGTCTGTCGGCATCCGAGTGGCGGAATGCTCGGTCGGTTCTGGGTCCCCTCCCCCCCATGTTTCTGTTCCAAAAATTAACATCCTCTCTACAATTCTGAAAAAACAAAATCACGTCTACCCACAGCAGCTACATGCCTTCGCTGGGTTTCATGCCCAAGTATTGCCGTCTTCGTGCCCTTCGAGGGCGCTTTCGCTTGCTTTGGCGTCGCTATTACTGCCACCGGTGCTTTCTTCTCTCTCCGCTGTAAGGTACTTCGGACCCGTGGCTCAGGCGACCTGGCACAAGATCTACAGCATCAATGGGAAGGTGGCCGGGGAGGTGCTTCTGGAAGGGAGGATGGACGACCGGCACGGGTAGGTTTTGGCCGATGCCCCACCACACTGACCTCTTCGTTGGTTGTTTCGCCTACAGCTGTCGTCGAAAGTGCATTGCGTATAGCTTGCTGTCTTGACATGTTGACGATGTAGCGCGACCGATCTCTTCGTTGTCTATTCCGCCTACAACAGCTGAAGTCGGAAGTGCATCCGCACGGTTTGCTGTCTCGACATCTTGGCGTGTAGCGCGACCGACCTCTTCGTTGTTTATTGCGCCTAGCTGTCGTCGGAAGTGCATGCAACAACTTGAGAACCCCCCCCCCCGGGCCGACAACGTATCGCTTTCCTCGCAACTCGCGCGCGTAGGATGTCCACCCATGGAGCACCGATGGTGGGCTCGACACCCGGCCTTGGTCAGGTGACGCAGCAGCATGTACTAGAACGTTTTTTGTCGTGCTTTGCATGTAGCAGGCATCGGGTGATATTGCGGGGTGCCCCCTTGACGATTGTTGCGTCCCGATCTCCGGAGAACCTAACTGTCGTTTTAGAATACGGGCAGTCATTTTTTTCGTCATACCGCTTTGCCTAGCAGGCGTCGGATGTTGGTGTTTTTCTTGTGTCCCCTGCGCCGTTGTTCCGTCCCGATCTCTGGAGAACTTGTCACGTCAAGCTATGGACTTGCCTTTTTCGGCATCATGTACCGCTCTGCGATGCTTGCAGGCGAGAGCCATGCACGAGCAAAGCGTAAGTCTATATATCTGTGCCAACGCGATGGTGTTGCGGTCTTTCCGAGTCTTGTTAAATTCGTAGGCAAGTGCTGCTACACGCTACTTGTGTCAAGAGACCCGTTACGATCGATGGAAGGATAGCGAAGAGGTGGCATTGAAGATGAACCTATCGACCCCCTCGTGGGGGGTCGTTCCTCTGTACCGACGCAGTGGTCCTGATTCCTGGCGTGTGCGTACCTCGCTACATTGCCAAGCGTCATCCCCACCCAATGCTGTGTTCATGCCCGCGTTTTCTGCTCTGCACTCGCGCTCCCCCTTTTCGTTCTGCGTTGTTTTTCAAGCTTCCGCCAAACGCTGCATGCTTGCCATCGAATTCTCTTTTACCACCAAATGCTTGTCATTTACCGGTCTTACAAGGCTTCTTGGAAAACAACGGCCCCAGCCGTCTATCTCTATTTCCGTGGGCCCTTTCGCCTCATAGCGTCTGCCAATAGATGTTGTTCCACCGTGCTAGTGCTTGCTCTCTGCCGTTCTTGTCGCGAGTTCACTCTTTCCAACAAGCTTCTCCCCCCCCCCACCTTCCTCATCCACTCTACGGTATACCCATGCTCGCTATCCCGTTTCCGTGTTGCTTGAAAATCTCTCCCCTCCCCTCTCCTCCCCCCCCCTCCCCGTTAATCATTGCTGGTGTCCCGCCTTTCCCACCGAACGCAGCCATCTTCCTCCCTAATCCCCCCGCAATCCTCCATGCACTACCCCCAACACCAATCCGCGGGGGGGTACTCACAGTCGACGGGGTACGGCGGCCGGGCCCCTCAGCCATCGTTGTCGACCTCCGCCTACGGCGCCTCCCGTCCGCCATCGGGATACGGCGGCGTTGCCCCCCAACGATCGCTGTCAACTTCTATGTACGGGCCCCCCCGTTCGGCGTCGGTTTACGGGAGCTCTCGGCCGCCATCGTCTTCGTACGCCCCCCCCCAACCTGGAGCATCATACGGCGGCCCTCAACCACCGTCAGCGGCGGGGCGGTACAATCCTCAAGCGCCGGCATCGGCGTACGGTAGCGCTCCTCAGGGACCGATAGCGGCGTACGGCGGCTCTCGAGTCGGTGCTGCGCCGGCACCGGCACCGGCGGGGTACGGAGCGACTTCCGGCGGTGGCTTGGGTGCCGCAGCCGGTGCGCCGCAGCGAAACCCGAATGCCGTGTACTACGGCCCTGCCGCCGGCAGCGGCGGCGGCGGTGGAGCGGGATTTAGCGGCGGGAGCTATCGAGGTGAGCCAGCAGCGGGGGGAGCAGGATTGGTGGGGAACCGGCCTTGTAGATGTTGTCGCTGCCGCCGTGTTTTTTGGGGGGGATGATATGTTATATATCGAACGACGTATCGCCACGAGTGTCATACAGATAAGCACACACGAATCGCTGTGTGTCATACCGATATGTGCACACACAAGGAAATCGGGGCCCCGCTTCGTCCAATCCTCTCCGCCCACGACCCCACCAAGACGAAAGAAAATGCTCTTCCTCTCCCTCGTTTCTTGTATCAATGCCCGCTCCAATCGCCCCTCCCTACTCCTGCACCCCCCCCCCTACCACTCACATGCTTGCCTTCCACACACTGATGGCTACGAACTCTGCCACCCATTTCACGACCACATTTCTCGCTATTGGAAGCCGGGGCGCCGCCGACACCGGCCATGTCGCTCAAATGGGGTACCCCGGCGGCGGCTCCGGCGGCGGCTCCGACTACGGCGCAATACTCGACGTTTGGGGGTCCCGAAGCGGCGCAATCTTCTGCCAGCACGGCCACACCCTACCATGCGCCTTTGGCCCCATCGGCCCCGTCTGCACCGCCGGCGACGGCTCCAGCACCGGCAGCAGGGTACTCGAACGGCAGCAGTCCCTACAGCAACGGCGGTGGCAGTGGTCCTTACGGCAACGGCAGCAATCCGTACGCCAACGGCAGCGGCGGGGGTGGTGGAGGTGCTCGTCCACTTCCTCGTGAGTGCCGATGGATGCATTGCCAGCAGTGTCTGTGGTGCTGCTGCACACGAACAATTTATGTTGCCCATCGCTACCCGGCATGTCGCTCCGTCCCGGCATTGTAGAGATGCGAGCTCAGTGGTCTGACGACTGCGGCCTGCGTTTACATGAGTACTCGCCCCCCCCCCTCCCCCTCCCCCCCCCCATCTCTCTCTCTCTCTATCATCTCTCTCTCTCTCTCTCTCTCTCTCTCTGACGTTTTTTTTTCTGTGCGGTCCCTGCCGTTCGTTCCCCTATTACTGCCCTTCGCTGCTGTTCGTCCGCGAAGTCCCCCCAGGCTGGGAAGAGAAGGTCGCAAGCGACGGACGGACGTTTTTCGTGGACCACAAGTGAGTTCTGTGCTTGTCCCGCAAGAAATGCGGCTCCTTTTTTCCGAGGCCGCGAGATCGAGCTGGTCTGCGCGCCACACACATTTGCCGCTTGTTGCCGCTACCTGCTTTTCCCTACTATGTTCGATCTGTCGCTGTTTGGCCTTGTCCCCGTGGCTAGTTTGACTCCGCGTGCCTATCACGCCCGGAAACGTTTCCCCCCATCGTACAACGTGTCGGTTCGTCGGTCTGTATTTGTCGGCTCTTGCTCTCTTGCATCGGAACGCTGCAAAACTACACGTATTTTGAGGAAGCGTGTGCGAGAGATCTAACGGTTTTCCCTTAGTTCGGTGCGCGATTCTGCCTCAAGTTTATTCGGCCGCGGCAGATATTCTGTCACGCGCAATTGCGACGTTTCCCAGTGGAGACCAGCTTTCTAGAGGCGCCCTTGTGCCTGACGTTCTGCCAATACAAAATAACCCGACATTGGAACGACTAGAGGCGCCCCTGTGCCTGGCGTTCTGCCAATACCAATTACCCCTACATCGGAACGAGAGCCGCGGCTTGCGGAGATGCTGTCCCCCCGACCGTACACATTGAGTATCTACAGCAGAGCCATGGCTTTTGAAACAGCCGGATGTTTTGGGGCGATTTAATTGGAGCAAAAGAGCTGTCTTGGTTCGGTCCTAGTGCGAGAGAATGTTACAGCATCCTTTGATTGGGTAGTTAGTCTTTGACCACGGAAGGCGTCTGCGTCAGTTGGACCAGCACGGACGGTAGAAGGCACTGAGCGGAGACCGGATCAATTTTTATTGTGACGACAATACCAACAACGACAACCCCTTTGAAGTAGGACCATTTTCCTCGCTTTTGTTTGTCTACTCGGCGGTGCGAAGCGGGCAGTTATCCCTCGGACTCAAACGTTGGTGGGCAATTGGCGCCTCACGTGTCGGCCTTCAATTGACCCCAAGATAACTGGTGTGACTGGCTTGGAAACCATTTTGAACCCACCACCCCCCGCACCCCTCCGCTGTGCCCCATGACTTGACCGTCGTTTCTTGTTCACTTTCGCGGTGGGCAGTACAAGATCAACCCACTGGGTCAGACCAGTATGAACGCAAACCCAGGCCCTCGGGCCCGCCTGTCCTAGCCTGATATTCGGAAGTTTTTGTTCAGGAAGGTACCGGCCGCTCTCTGGGGCGTTTCTTTCGTGGTCTTTCACGTGTTTGTGTGCCGTAAGCGTGGACGAACAAACAACCGCGATGAGCAAGGAAGGGCTTTCCTCCCGCAGAAGGTCGTGGCTGTATTTTGACGTTTGTTTCAGATATTTCGGAGAGAGATGGCGTCGTAAAGTAGTGGGAACGTGACAGCATTGGTTGGCCGGTTGTTTTTCTGGCTACACAACAGCAAGAAGTTTTGGTGTATTTTTTTGCTTGCCCCACCACGTTTCCTGTGTCGCGTGTCATGTTGTGTATGGATGGATGCCATCGAGAGGTAGTAGTCGTGCCCGCTCTATCGTGCGGTTTCGGTGTTGGAAGAACTCCAACTGGCCCCTTGCTTGTCGTTACTATATATTATTGGTGGTCCTTTGTGGCCACCCGTTGGTTGGAAAGGTTTTAATTGTACAGGAGGGGAGAAGATTTGCAGCATGATAGGGCACTGCTGTACACAACGAGTGGTAGTTACTAGCGCTTGCTCGCGCCCCCAATGTTAATTGTTTGGCTTCTTTATTCGTTGTCTAGTCTTCTTGGCAGCAAGGTTGCTCAGACAAAAGCACCACAATATTTCTGTCTGGAGGGACAGGCTAAATAAGGAGACATGGCGGAAGAGCTAGCTTGTTGCCGAATCCAACCAAGGCTGCTTACCTTCCATCCAAGTTGTTCGACCCCCCACCATTGGGCTGTGTTCGCAAGATTGTTTTTTTGTGTCGATGTCGGGATTGTGGGTGAATCCCATGTGGTGAATTCCGAGTGGTGGTATTTGGCTCGAACCTCTTCAGGATGGTTTCTCGTAACCCCCCCCCCTGCAGGAACTCTCCACTTCGAACCCGTTTTGGGAAGTCTTCATTTGTTGCGGAAAGGCCTGGCTCTCTCTGTAGTATTGCAGCGAATTTTGTCCAATCTTAGACAGGGCGAGTTGACCAATGACCAGTCCAACTAATAGCCCTCACATACTGGCTAGCGGAACTAACAGTGTTCATTCTCACGTAAACGATGCATGCACCATGCGAGGACACAACCAACCGCACCATCGCACAGCAGAGGAATCCTATTCAGCAGTACAGTAGGTGGCCCGATATAGTGGCAACCTGAATAGTAAAGTTCCCGATATAGTGGCATAAAAATCTCCTGGCAAAATCTCAACCCGATATAGTGGCACCTTGCCACTGTTGAGGACGGGGCCCTCAATAGTGGCATTTCGGGCATCACACACACCCAATAGTGGCAGTTCCAACTAGTGGGCCCCCACTATACTGCTGTACCACANCAGAGGAGGAGGGCGGCCAAGAAATACACTGCGTCTGCAACCCGTGCATCGCCAAGAAGCAGAAGACACCCGGCTATTCGAAACAGCCTAAGCGTGCCTCGCCCGAATCCGAACTTGCCGGAGATGGCGCCGCGGCGAAAAAGACCAAGCCAGCCGGGAAAGCAGCCGGGAAAGCGGGAAAATCGACGCGCACGCGGCTCAACTTCGGCCAGCAGCTTGAGGTTCTCAAGCTCTTGGACGAGAAGAC